GGTAGTACCATCAGGGGAAAAGTGATCAAAAAGCAAGCAACATAGTCCATTCCAGAGAAATCCTTCTACTCTCTTAACTAATAGACCCACATGAAGCCTAAGATGTCCATTGGCTGCTTATAAGTAGAGGACTTAAGTCCAGACCATGTATTGTCCTTGGTTGGTACTTCAGACTCCATAGGCCCCCCTGGTCAATTGGCTTTGATGGCCTTCTTCTGGAAATTTTGTAATGCTAGGTTCATAAAACCTTTCCCCCTCTTTTCCAGTAAACTGCATATGCTTCACCCAATGTGTGGCTGTGAATATCATTATCTGTTTCTAATATTGCTGGTTGGTGCCTCTAAGAGGACAACTCTGGTAGGCTCCTGTCTGCAAGCATATCAGAATATCGTTAATGGTGATAGGGCTTGTTTCTCTTCCATGGGGTGAGACTTAGGGGTGGGCCCAGCATTGAATAGACTCAATCTTTGCTCCATCTGTTCTATCTCTGTCCCTGTAGATTTTGTAGGTGGGGTAAGTTTTGGACTGAGGTTTTTGTGGGTGGATTGGTGATCCCCTCCTTCCACTAGGTGTCCTGTCTAGATAAAGGGTGTCCTCTTTAGTCTCCATGGGCCCTGCTACTAGGAGTCTTAGCTCGAGTACCCCTCATACTTTCCCAGAGGCCTATTATGACTTAGGTCTGCAGATAACCCTACCCACCATTTCTCTTCTCTGCAGGCCTTCTACTCTTATACTCCCCAGGTCTGCTCTCCACTCTTATTTCTCTCTGTACTCCTTCTTCTACCACTCTTCAACCACTACCTCTGTCCACTCTCTTTCTCCTTCTGAGATTTATGTGTCTTCCCTTGTGTCCTCCTTATTACTTATCTTCTTGGGTTCTATGCACTGTAGTATGTCTCTTATAAGTCAGTACATACCATGTGTGCCTTTCTTGGTCTGTGTTACTTAGGATGATTTTTTTTTCTGCCTCCATCTATTTGCCTACAAACTCCACGATTTCATGTTTTTAATAGCTGAGTAGTATTCCATTGTGTAAATGAACCACAATTTCTGTATCCATTCTTTGGTTGAGGGATGTCTAGGTTGTTCCCAGTTTCTGGCTATTATGGATAAAACTGCTATGAACATGGCTGAGCAAATGTCCTTGTTATATGGTTGAGCATCTTTTGGATGTATGCTCAGGAGTGATACACCTAGATCTTGAGATATAAATATTCCAAGTTTTTTTGAGAAAGGGCCAGATCAATTTTTATTTTTTTTATTTTTTTCTTATTATTTATTTATTTATTTATTTATTTATTTATTTATTTATTATTTTTTCTTTTTAGTTACATTTTGTTAACTCTGTGTCCCAGCTGTATCCCGCTCCCTCATTCCCTCATTCCTTCCCCAACCCCACACTCCCTCCCTGGTCTCCTCCCTGCCCCTTTCCAAGTCCACTGATAGGGGAGGACCTCCTCCCCTTTCATCTGACCCTGTTTTATCAGGTATCTTCAGGGCTGGCTGCAAAGTCCTCTTCTGTGGCCTAACAGACTGCTCCTCCCCGGGGGGGGGGGGGGTCAAACAGCCTGCCCTCCTTGAGATCCTGTTAGAAATAGTCCGTGTTCCCCTTACTTTGGAAAACTACTTGGTTACTGAGCTACCACGGGCCACATCTGAGCAGAAGTTCTAGGTTATATCCATAGATGGTTCTTGGTTGAGTGTCAGTCTCAGAAAAGATCCTGTGCCCAGATATGTTTGGTCCTTGTAGAGCTCCTATCCTTTCCTCATCATACTAACTTCCCTTCTTTCATATGATTCCCTGCACTCTGCCGAGGGTTTGGTTATGAGTCTTAGTGTCTGCTTTGAAACACTGCTAGGTAGAGTCTTTCAGATGCCTTTTGTGGTAGACTCCTGTCATAAGTTCAATGCACATCCCATTTGTCTTTCTAAATGAGGATTAATCACCTTCGCCTGTGTCCACTTTCTTGATTATCTTCTTTAGGTGTGTAGATTTCATTATGTTTATCATATCTTGTAGGTCTATATAAGCGAGTATATACCAAGTTTGTCTTTCTCCTTCTGGGATACTTCACTCAGAATGATCTTTTCTAGATCCCACCACTTGCCTGCAAATTTCATGATTTCCTCCTTTTTGATTGCTGAGTAGTATTCCATTGTGTAAAAATACCACAATTTCTGTATCCATTCCTCCGTTGATGGACATCTGGGTTGTTTCCAAGTTCTGGCTATTACAAATAAAGCTGCTATGAAGATCAATTTTTAAAGTGGTTGTACAAGTCTAAACTCTCATCAGTAATGTAGGTGTGTTCCCTTTTCTCCACATCCTCTCCAGCATGTACTGTCACTTGAATCTTTGATTTTAGTCATCTGACAGGTGTGAGATGGAGGCTCAGAGTTGTTTTGATTTGCATTTCCCTGATGACTAAGGACACTGTGCATTTCTTTAACTGTTTCTCCAATTACATGGTACTGTCACAGAAATAGAGTGGTTGATCAGTGGATTCTAATTTAAGACCCAGAAATAAACCCACACACCTATGTACACCTGATTTTTGACAAAGGAGCTAAAACCATATAATGGAAAAAAGATAGCATCTTCAACAAATGGTGCTGGTGACTGGATGTCTACTTGTAGAAAAATGCAAATAGATCCATATTTATTACCCTGCACAAAACTCAAGTCCAAGTGGATCAAAGACCTCAACATAAAACCAGATATACTAAATCTGCTAGAGTAGATTTAAGGTAAGAGCCTTAATCTAATTGGCACAGGAGACAACTTCCTGAACAGAACATCAACAGTTAAGGATCTAAGATCTACAATTAACACGTGGGACATCATGAAACTGAAAAGCTTCTGTATAGCAAGGAACACAATCAACAGAATCAAAAAGTAGTCTACAGATTGAGAAAAGATCTTCAACAATCCTATGTAGCCCATGGCAGGTCAGTATCCAAGTGGGTTCCCTTGTAATAGGAACAGGGACTGTCTCTGACATGAACTGATTGGTCTGCTCTTTAATTTCCTCCCCCTGAGGGGAAAGCAGCATTACCAGGCCACAGAAGAAGACAAAGCAGCCACTGCTGATGAGACCTAATTGACTAGGATCAGAAGGAAGGAAAAGAAGTCCTCCCTTATCAGTGGACTCAGGGAGGGGCATGCATGCAGAGGGTGGAGGAAGGGAAGGATTGGGATGGGAGGAGGGAGGGAACCACGGTGGGGGGATACAAAGTGAGTAAAGTGTAATTAATAAAGAAAAATAAAATACAAAAAAAGATTTGGCGGAAAAAAAAAAAACAAACAATCCTATGTCTGACAAAGGGCTAATATCCAGAATATATAAAGAACTCAAAAAATTAAAGACCAATAAACCAAAACAATCCAATTTAAAAATGGGATACAAAGCTAAACAGAGAAGGTTGGAGTAAGAACACAATCAACAAAAACCATCATGGCTTCACCAGAAACCCCCAAAACAATGGATTCTCTAAGGCAGCTGAAACTCAGAAAAATGACTTTAAATCTATGCTTATGCAGTTTTTGAGGCAATGAATAAATCCTTCAAAGAACTACAGGAAAATACAACCAAAACAAATGGATAGTCTTCCATTGGCTGTATCTCTGGAGAACCTTAATATGTATAAGTGTTAGTATGAATATGAGTACAAGCATGTATCAGCTAAGTTCATATGTGAAATGTAATCAAAGACCATTAATTAACCCTTGAAGGAAATTACAAGGAGTGAACCCAACAATTTTAATGAACTCTTGCTTGAGGTTAGAGGGGTTTTCTGTGATGTTTGCATCTCTGTGTATTCATATTCAAACACATATATATGAAAAGAGATGCATATAATCACTGGTTTGCCAACTGAGATGGTATTCAACATCAAATTAGCACACGTTATTCTTTGAAGCAATCTTCTAAATGTCATTCTTATCTACTTTTTATCTAGAGGTAGGCAAGAAAAAAAATCTAGATTAATCTGAGATATATTGTGTTGGCAAAAAAACAAGACGGCACATACAGAATGTAAAATGGACTGATTATTCTCAATGGGACCTCTATTTGAGAAACTTGGAGAATGGTACCAGAACTATTATTCACTCAAATAATGTTTTTCTCTTAATGTCTGTTAATGTACACTTTAAAAAACAAACCAAATAATTAAACATTTTATAAAGATCAAAGCATTTATATAACTTGAAATTATTAATCATATGAAAGAAGGGAAGTTAGTATGATATGGAAAGGATAGGAGCTCTACAAGGACCAAACATATCTGGGCACAGGGTCTTTTCTGAGACTGACACTCAACCAAGGACCATCTATGGATATAACCTAGAACTTCTGCTCGGATGTGGCCCATGGTAGCTCAGTAACCAAGTAGTTTTCCAAAGTAAGGGGAACACGGACTATTTCTAACAGGATCTCAAGGGCAGGCTGTTTCACCCCCCCCCCCAGGGGAGGAGCAGTCTGTTAGGCCACAGAGGAGGACTTTGCAGCCAGCCCAGAAGATACCTGACAAAACAGGGTCAGATGAAAGGGGAGGAGGTCCTCCCCTATCAGTGGACTTGGAAAGGGGCAGGGAGGAGACCAGGGAGGGAGTGTGGGGTTGGGGAGGGAATGAGGGAGTGGGATACAGCTGGGACACAGAGTTAACAAAATGTAACTAAAAAGAAAAAATAAATAAATAAATAAATAAATAAATAAATAAATAAATAAATAAA